GTTATGGAGAAAAATAAATTAAACAAGATTTGCCTGAGCATTACATCCGAATTCCTTACCAAATTTGAAAGAAGAATAAAATACGAAAAATAAATACTAATAATAAAAATAAATATAAATAAAAAAATAATTGAATTTAGTGAGTGTGCGAGCATGTTTTCGACACCACCATCTTTGGCGATTTTTTTTTTTTTTTGGCATAGCTAAATACGCTGAAAATTTACATATGTGTACTTCACATAATACAAAACCCACTAAAAAAGTATCAAAAAATAATAAAATTGTTTACCCCTTACTAAAGTGAAAACAAAAAGTAAAAAGTGAAAAAATATGTGGGCGAGCACGTTTTGATACCGCCATCTTCGGCGATTTTTAATTCTTATTTGGCTTGGCCAAATGACTTGACAATCTATAAGCATGTACATCACGTCATAGAGAACTCACAAAAAACAATTCAGAAAGCAATAATTATTTTTCGGCCCCGAAATAATTTTTGGCGGGTCCCGAACGTCGTCGGGTTCGAACCCCGTACGGGACCCCGAACGCCCATACGTACCTCCGTACGTACGGTTAGGTGACCTTGATTATTATTATTATTATTATAATTATTATAATTATGATAATTATTATTATTATTATTATTATTATTATTATTATTTTATTCTTTTATTTTTTTTTTATTATTATCATTATCATCGTGATTATTATTATTATCGTTATTATTAATTATTTATTTTATTGTTATTATTATTATTATCCTCTTATCGCTTTTTCTGATAGGGTTAAAAACACAATCGAACATATGCACATGAACCTTGTGTCCGACTAGAACCATACTCAGGTTCACACATGTTGACCCGGATGAAGCCCAAGTACACTCGGGATCATCTAGACGGGAGGACAAAAAGGATGGAATGAGAAGGTAGAAAGAAAGAAAGAAGGCAGGAAAGAAAATGAAGAAGGAAACAAGGAGAAAAAAGTGAGGAGAATGAGAAAAGAGAATAAAAAAACATGAAATAAGAAGACACGGGAAGTTATTTTTTCTTGTTATTTTTTGGTTTCATCCTGTATACCCTTGTTTTACTGACTCTCTAGTGCTTTATAGTTGATTAATGTATGTATGTAGGACGGGTGATAGGATAAGGCTCCAGGTGAGAAACATCCTATTACTCGCCTCTACATGTATACATATCTTAGATTGTTAGGTTGATAGACTAGAAGTGCGGTACCTCTATGCGGGTCATCACATAGTATGTCTTAGTCTAATAGACTAAGAACAAGTGGTACGATACTCATGTCTGAGTCATCTTACTGCTCGATCGAAACCATACGAACTAGTAAGTATAAGATGAAGACACTTGTGAGGGTTTTCTTACTTCATACTTACATTTGATCGGACTATATTATAGTCCTCCGTTAGAATTGAAGTTCACATTGCTGAACTTCATGTAAGGGCATGTCGATAGTGAGGGAGGTGTTGAGACCTTGTTGACTTGTGTGTGATTGCAGGTCACCTCAACTATCAAGAGGACTAACTATGAGTCTGTGCAAAGCTGCATGTTGTTGCCATATGGTAACAGGTTGGTTCACCAACTGAACCCTCACTCACCTTTTACATCCACACTTTGCATCAACCTTTGCACTAAAAACATAGGATTCGTGAAAACCCAACAACACGACAAAACCCAACATTTTGTATAGAGTGAAATACTTAAAGTCAAACAACTGTATCTGGAAAAAAAAAACAGTGTCTGTCTAGGAAAATCATTTACAGCAAAGATCTTGTTATAGGACTATAACTCCTTTCAACAGACCGACAAAAAGCAGAGCTTCGATAAAACAACTGCAAGGCAAAATTGAAAGTTGTAAAAAACTCAGTTCTAGTGAATACTCGTATATAGGACTATACGCTATTCTCAGCACATATTGGTCAATATGGCAATTTTCAAGTTAGTATTAAAATCCTTATCAAAAATTATATGTTATGTAAAATAATAAAACATTTTTTTTTTGCCTCGGAGACACCTTCAAATTCTTAGTCAAAATATAGTAAAACAAATTAAAAAAAAAAAAACACTTTAAAAAAGTAAAAAATTCATTTGAAAAAAAATATGTTTCCCCACCAAAAAAATAACATGTTTGAGGGAACGTAATTGCAAGCAAGATAACACTATGTTGCATGCCCTGCCGCGGTCGAGGGTCCGGATCGGCCGCGGCCTATGCCAATGGCCGAATCAGCCCGGTTCGGCCTAGGCCGACCAACCGAGTCTGGTACATGAATTTTTTTCCCCATTTTTCGCATGTAGAAAAATATATATATATATAGGCGTGTAGGG